GGGGGGGAGGGGGGCAATCAGGCTCTGTTGCATGCAGGGAAACAAAAAAGCAGTGTAGATCAAGGTGTTGTGAACGGGCTGATGTTATGATTAGGCTGCCATCATGAATGGGCTTCCAATGGATGGAAAAACATACATGACCCTCTTTTTTCAAAAAGCAGCACACCACAATGCACGGTATGTGTGTAGTGGTGCATTGGGCTCTACTGTACAATGCGTTGGGGTGCAATTCACAATAAATGGCACTGCAGATAGAGAATGGGGCTTCTTGGCCTTTTGGCTAAGATCGAGTGTAGTATCTGTTCTTATCAGTTGTTGGAGGGGAGAGGATGTTGCCACCCGATGGGAGAACATTCTAGTACCCTCTGACGTAATGGTTGGTGTCAGAGGACGGTTCGGTCCACTGCTAGTTGCATCAGGCCCTGATGATCGGGTAGACCCTAGACAGTGGGAGGACCCCCGACGGCACTACCTCCTGATGTGAGCGGAGAACCACGGGGTCTGGCCCGAGGGTTCGGGGGGCGGCAGAAGCCCGTGGTGTTGTGCCCCCTGGGGGTGGCGTCCCAGGGGTGCTCAGGAAGTCACATGGGTATGTGACCCCACATGACTCACTGTATAAAGCTGTACCCGCCCCCTCCCCCGTCCGTTCCGCCAGTCAGCGCTGGAGGATCGGAGCGGGAAATCCAGTCCCTCCCCTGTCACGGCTCTCTGCAGGGAGATGATCGAGAAGTGAGCGAGCGCCGGTATGTGTTCCCTCACTTCCCGATCTACTGAGCCGACCTGTGACAGCTTCATTGTCACAGGTCGGCTCAGATTATGAGGCTGAGTGACAATCACTCCCCTAATAGTTCTCCTTTTTTTTTAAGTTTTTTTTTTTTCCAGAAAATACAATCATTGCAGTGACAGTTCGGTAACATAGTAAGTGTGAAATGTGCGATGGTTACATTGTATGTAGAGTTATAAAACTCCGAATCCTTTTTTCACGATGAGTTTAGTTTGGATTTCTCGGGTTTGTAACAAAGTTACTGAAATAAGAAATATTCTGTTCCGCTGTGAATGTCCCGGTGCCAACTGTCAATGTCTCTCCGTTCCAGGTACTCCGAGCGCAGTAACACAAAGTGTGTCGGGATCACCATAGAGACTCGGCCGGACTACTGCCTGAAGCGTCACTTGAGCGACATGTTGTCATACGGCTGCACCAGGCTGGAGATCGGCGTGCAGAGCGTGTACGAAGATGTTGCCAGAGATACCAATCGGTGAGTAGAGTCTTCATCGATGAGGATGGTACCATAGATGGCAACGAACCAATCATATCCTGACTTAACACCAGGGATGCACCGATACCATTTTTTCTGTATCGAGCAAGCGTACTGATATTTTTTTTGGTACTCACTGAAAAAACGATACTGGAAGTCCCATTAAGGAAGCTGGGTGGCGTGTAATGAGTCGCGCCTGCCATCCCGATTAGCTGGGAAGAAGGAACCATGGAGCTAGCTTTCTGGCCAATCAAGAAGCCGGGGGGTGGGTAATGACTCGCCACCTGGCCTCCTTATTAGCTGGGTGGCGAGTTATTATACGGCTCCCGACTTCCTGATTGGCTGGGAAGCCGGCTCCATGCTCCCTTGTCACAGGGTGGCGATGGATTATGGATGCGGCTTTCCGGCAAATCAGGAAGCCGGATGGCGTGCAATGACTCGCCGCCCAGCTTCCTGATTGGCCAGCTTCCCAACCAATCAGGAAGCTGGGCGGCGAGTCATTGCACGCCATCCGGCTTCCTGATTTGCCGGAAAGCCGCATCCATAATCCATCGCCACCCTGTGACAAGGGAGCATGGAGCTGGCTTCCCGGCGAGTCATGACCTTCGCCCTGGCTTCCTGATTGGCTGGGAAGCAAGTTCCATGCTCCCTAGTGATGAGGCCAATCAGGAAGCCAGGCGGCGTTTAACGACTCGCGGCCCGGCTTCCTGATACCGGAGGTTCCGGTATGTGGATAGCCATCGGGAGCATTTGGGCGAGTACTGGCCTTAATACTTTGTATTGGCAGCGATACCGATACTAGTATCGGTGCATCCCTACTTAACACTGTGCAATATTATTAGGACGGTGTTTGGAATTTGTTTATGTTATGTTGAATTGTCATCCTGAATCTAAGGCCCTGGGGCCACAACCTTATGGCCCTTTGGCACTTGTGCAGCTCTCTGGGCCCCTGAAGATATTACTCTGTATTCTGGTGATTACTCAAGCCAGTAAAGGAAAAATATTCTTCACACTGACTTCTAGTAGTAGGAAATGCACAAAGTTTAGCAAAACTCAAGGAAGAATACACATGACTTTCGTATGAGGAGAACTTCTCCTGGTCAATGCGGCTTTTATGGTCAGTTGTACCCTTAAAGGAGAACTTTGGGGTGAGGGCTTTTCCTCATAGTTCTCCTTAGGGTAACGGGAGGACACAACCTAGCAACAGCTCGCAGTATACCGAGACGCCGCAGCTGAAGCGGATCCCGACAATTATGTCTGGATCCGCCCAGCTGCGTGACTGACAGCTGGCTCTGCCTATCTAGAGGCAGAGCCAGCTGTACCCGCCCCCTCCCCCGTTCGTTCTGCCAGTCAGCGCTGGCGGATCGGAGCGGGGAGGGGGGAATCCAACCCCTCCCCCTGTCACGGCAGAGAGCCGTGACAGGATCCAGAGGTGAGCGAACGCCGGTATGTGTTCGCTCACTTCCCGATCTACTGAGCCGACCTGTGACAGTCTCATTGTCACAGGTCGGCTAGAACTATGAGGTGAGTGAAAAGCACCCCCCATAGTTCTCCTTTTTAAGGAGCAACAACAAGCCCTTCGAATATCTATCTGCCTTGTATTTCCTGGAGCGTGCACGAGCCGGCCTGTGATCGGCTGGTAAAAGTCTAAATATGAACAATCCGGGTTTTTGAACCCTCACCCAACCATGATGCTTTGTTCCGGTTTCCTCCACACGGGAGCGCCATCAGAGCCGTCCAAATCTCGTGCGTCCTTTACCTCGAGTTTCGGCGTTTTGCTCGGCTCCCCTTCTGGAAAGTTGTTTTTTTTGCTGACAAAAGCTGAAGAGGTTTTGTGCAATAAAATAATGAAAACCACAAAGAAAAAAAAAATCTGGCGAGTGGGCGGGTAGAGATTGGAGATAACCACCCTGCCAAGGCGCCGCGTCAGCCTAATCAATAAATCTTTGAAGTGTGAGACTTGTAATCCTGACTTTTCATGACCTCTATTATCTTACGGCCTGTCCTTGTCACCGGCCCGAGCAGCAGTGTTTTCTATTTCCCTCCCGAGCGATAAACCGCCACGTTCTCTCCTGCTCTTGGTGGGAACACCGGCGTTGTTGCTGGAAGCTGTATATTAAAAGATATATAGATAAATATATATATATATATCTTCTAAAGACTTGGCTTACATTTTTGGCCCGTTTCATGTTAAACCCGTATTCAGGGGTAAGTAAATATTGTCCTCATACAAGAGTCATGTGTGAATCTTGGTGAGCTTTGTGTATTTCTTCCAGATCTGTGTGACCTCCTGTAATAAATACTGGTCACTGCAGCTCTCTCTCCTTGTGCAGGGCTCCTGTAATAATGACCGGTCACTACTGCTTTCTCTACTTGTGCAGGGTGACTGGTCTTGTCACAGATTATGATGAGCCAAAATGAACCAGAAAGCTCAGTGTATAGAAACCATGGCTTTTATGAAGGAGGGCTCGGGGAGTCATAAGAAGATATAACCAAACAGGTTAGGCTATGGTGGGCCAAAAGGAACCACAAAGCTCATTGTATGAAACCATGGCTTCTATGGTGGAGGGCTTGGTGAGCAATAAAAAGGTTTAACCAGACAGGTTATGGTATGGTGGGCCAGAAAGAACCATAAGGCTCAGTGTATGGGAACCATGGCTTCTATGGAGTTGGGCTTGGGAAGCAATAAGACAGGTTATGGTATGGTGGGCCAGAAGGAACCATGATGCTCAGTGTATGGGAACCATGGCTTCTATGGAAGAGGGCCTGGGGAGCAATAAGAAGATATAACCGGGCAGATTATGGTTTTGTGGGCCAAAAGGAACCATAAAGCTCAGCGTATGGGAACCATGGCTTCCATGGAGTTGGACTTGGGGAGCAATAAGAAGATATAACCAGGCAGATTATGGTTTTGTGGGCCAAAAGGAACCATAAAGCTCAGCGTATGGGAACCATGGCTTCCATGGAGTTGGACTTGGGGAGCAATAAGAAGATATAACCAGGCAGATTATGGTTTTGTGGGCCAAAAGGAACCATAAAGCTCAGCGTATGGGAACCATGGCTTCTATGGAGTTGGACTTGGGGAGCAATAAGAAGATATAACCAGACAGGTTAAGGTATGGTGGGCCAGAAGGAACCATAAAGCTCAGTGTATGGGAACCATGGCTTCTATAGAATAGGGCTTGGGATCCAACGAGACAGTACAACCATACAGGTTATAGTGAGAAGAGAGTAACTCTACGTCTAACCATATATAATGTATATACTGTATGTATGTAATAGAATAATATACAAACGATTCTCAGAATTCTCCAGTATGCCCGATGCAGCTGGTCCCCTTAAGAAGTCCGACACTCAGGTTGTCAGCAGAGGAATCTTTTTCATTTCTTCGCTTTAAACAAAGTTCATCCAGAGCGCTGAAGTGTCACGACTCGTCGGAGAGTGAATGGAAAGTCCTCGTGAGTGAATGAGCACATATGGAGGCCGGTCATTACTGACCCTTCTCAGAGGAGGAGGCCGCTCATTATAGCTTCAGCTCAGCGATCATCTCTAGTCCATCTCTGTAATTAGGAAGGGGGGGGGGGGGAACCTTCGTCAGATCGGTTACATTTACTGCGAAATGTCAAGCGCCCCTCAGCCATGCTGAAGAGCAGACAGGCGAAGGACGTTTTCCAAGTGTAATTAATATTAGGCGGATCGGCATTGTCCGCACATCTGTGTTATTGTTACAAATCCTACTTTTAATTAGCAGAGGTTGAAGCGTTTACTGAACGGCTGGAGCTCCGGAAGATTCTGTACGAGGACTTCAAATGAACCTGTTAGACGCTTAATGTGAAGTCTCACCTAGGCACAAGATGCCCCCTGTTACCTTTTATTGGTCAGAGACCCTCCGTGTGCCTCTCTGAAACTAGTTTTTACTTTGTTACTAGGAGTCTGAATTCTCTGATTTCAGAACTTAGCTCTGCCAACCGCCACCTCCTTTGAGCATCCCCTTAACCACTTGAAGTCCGCGGTGTTAAAGGAGAACTATGGGGCGAGTTCCTTTCACTCACTTCATAGTTCTGTGAGGGTGAGCGAACGCCGGTATGTGTTCACCTCACTTCCGGTCTTTATTACAGGAGGAGGCGGAGACCAGACCAGTCACCCTGCACAAGGAGAGAGAGCAGCAGTGACAGACCGCGTCATGTATGTCAGTTTGTATTTTGCCCGTAGTTACATTTGAGGTCATAAAGGGTAGAATGTTGTCTTGGATTTGCAATGGCGCGACCTTCCAAAATTCTGCATCATGTAATAACAATAGTGGAAATGCGGCAATTAAAGCCTTGAAACTGACAATACATTCCCAGTGGTGGCCCTTTGTGAGAGAAGCCTCCCTTCTTCTTCCAGGACTCATCTGATACTGAAAACTCACTGCGGCAGATACTAGAGAGAGAGAGAGACGGCGCTGCAAATGGATTGCCGCCTATAGAGCCGCGCGTCATTAACTCTCCGTGCTCAGCCCGATAGAAAGCTCGTTTGGTGGACATAATGGGCGTCGGTGAAGGGTGATTGTACATATCGATTGGGGGAGAGTTTAGACATTCGGCGTATTAATGGGCTTTTCATTGTCTGCAACATGAAAGATTAACGCTGACAACCCCATTGTGAGGAGACCGAGACTTCTTCTTTCATTAGGTTCACTTTTCTAGTACCCCGGACTCTCCTAAACTTTCCTCAGCCCAGAGGAACCCTGGATATAATTGTCATGTCCCAGGTGGTCAATGAGAAGAATGTCCCTTACATTGGGGGGTCAGTGGTCATTGGTGGTCAGTGAGAAGAATGTCCCTTACATTGGTGGTCCGTGGGAAGAATGTGCCTTACATTGGTGGTCAGTGTAGGTGGGTGATCAGTTCTCCCTTGCTCACTGCTCAATGAAACTCTAACAACCTCATTAGAAGTCGTGGGATCATAGGGAATCCTGGTTGAGAAGCACAGCTCTAGAGGCAGTGATAGAATACTTATGTGTAATATGTTGGGACGTTGAACACTTTTTACCATTCTTTTGTACTGGTGGAGGATCAAACTCCATTAATGGCCTCGTGGTTTCCTTTATAACAATGCGCCAGGTCAGCCAGTGTGCGGTTGGTCATGTGATCTGTAAATAGAGGATCTAGAATGGAAGTATGTTGGTGTAAATGTTGTTCTGGTTTCTTCTTCAGGGGTCACACGGTGAAAGCGGTGTGCGAGTCCTTCCACATGTCCAAAGACGCTGGGTTCAAAGTTGTATCTCACATGATGCCGGATCTGCCGAACATGGGTCTGGAGAGAGACATCGAGCAGTTCATTGTAAGTTACCAGATCTCAGGGGGGTTTTTGTTTTGTTTGCCCATCCAATGAATGAAAGGGGCGGGCCCAGGGCTGGGTAGGAAAGGAGCTAGATGATGCCTAACATCCTCCAGCCAGGAAATGAAGAGGGCTCTGTGTGACTTGCTGCAGCTTCTAATGCACATTGTGAGAAGCTCCCAGTGTGCAGTGATATCAGAGTCAGCAATGTCAGTCCAGGAGAGGAGACGGTACAACTGTGCAAGACCGATGGTTGGAGTGTTACGAAGGACCAACACATTTTTGTGTTTAGGAAAATCAACACGTCCCCTTCTTGTGCTTATCTGAAAGTGTTTATTGAGAAACAAAAGCTTTGTCTACTTACCTCTCTACTGTCACATGATAGGCTCGGGTCTTTCTTCTGCTCAGTAGAGTTGGAGGGTCCAGTCTGCAGTGCCCATGTCACTTCCTGGTGACGTAGACTGCCCATTGGCTGGCAATCACGGGGTGGAGCAGCACTTGGGAGGGATGTTACATGAGGGGCGGATATTAAGGAGGGACATAACGTGAGGGGCGGATATTAGGATGGACATAACATGAGGGGCGGATATTAAGAGGGACGTTACGTGAGGGGCGGATATTAGGAGGGACGTTACATGAGGGGCAGATATTAAGGAGGGACATAACGTGAGGGGCGGATATTAAGGAGGTACATAACATGAGGGGCGGCTATTAGGATGGACATAACGTGAGGGGCGGATATTAGGAGGGACATAACGTGAAGAGCGGATATTAGGAGGGACATAACGTGAGGGGTGGATATTAGGATTGACATAACATGAGGGGCGGATATTATAATGGACATAACGTGAGGGGCGGATATTAGGAGGGACATAACGTGAGGGGCGGCTATTAGGAGGGACATAACGGGAGGGGCGGATATTAGGATGGACATAACATGAGGGGCGGCTATTAGGAGGGACATAACGGGAGGGGCGGATATTAGGATGGACATAACATGAGGGGCGGCTATTAGGAGGGACATAACGGGAGGGGCGGATATTAGGATGGACATAACATGAGGGGCGGCTATTAGGAGGGACATAACGGGAGGGGCGGATATTAGGATGGACATAACATGAGGGGCGGCTATTAGGAGGGACATAACGGGAGGGGCGGATATTAGGATGGACATAACATGAGGGGCGGCTATTAGGAGGGACATAACGGGAGGGGCGGATATTAGGATGGACATAACATGAGGGGCGGCTATTAGGAGGGACATAACGGGAGGGGCGGATATTAGGATGGACATAACATGAGGGGCGGCTATTAGGAGGGACATAACGGGAGGGGCGGATATTAGGATGGACATAACATGAGGGGCGGCTATTAGGAGGGACATAACGGGAGGGGCGGATATTAGGATGGACATAACATGAGGGGCGGCTATTAGGAGGGACATAACGGGAGGGGCGGATATTAGGATGGACATAACATGAGGGGCGGCTATTAGGAGGGACATAACGGGAGGGGCGGATATTAGGATGGACATAACATGAGGGGCGGCTATTAGGAGGGACATAACGGGAGGGGCGGATATTAGGATGGACATAACATGAGGGGCGGCTATTAGGAGGGACATAACGGGAGGGGCGGATATTAGGATGGACATAACATGAGGGGCGGCTATTAGGAGGGACATAACGGGAGGGGCGGATATTAGGATGGACATAACATGAGGGGCGGCTATTAGGAGGGACATAACGGGAGGGGCGGATATTAGGATGGACATAACATGAGGGGCGGCTATTAGGAGGGACATAACGGGAGGGGCGGATATTAGGATGGACATAACATGAGGGGCGGCTATTAGGAGGGACATAACGGGAGGGGCGGATATTAGGATGGACATAACATGAGGGGCGGCTATTAGGAGGGACATAACGGGAGGGGCGGATATTAGGATGGACATAACATGAGGGGCGGCTATTAGGAGGGACATAACGGGAGGGGCGGATATTAGGATGGACATAACATGAGGGGCGGCTATTAGGAGGGACATAACGGGAGGGGCGGATATTAGGATGGACATAACATGAGGGGCGGCTATTAGGAGGGACATAACGGGAGGGGCGGATATTAGGATGGACATAACATGAGGGGCGGCTATTAGGAGGGACATAACGGGAGGGGCGGATATTAGGATGGACATAACATGAGGGGCGGCTATTAGGAGGGACATAACGGGAGGGGCGGATATTAGGATGGACATAACATGAGGGGCGGCTATTAGGAGGGACATAACGGGAGGGGCGGATATTAGGATGGACATAACATGAGGGGCGGCTATTAGGAGGGACATAACGGGAGGGGCGGATATTAGGATGGACATAACATGAGGGGCGGCTATTAGGAGGGACATAACGGGAGGGGCGGATATTAGGATGGACATAACATGAGGGGCGGCTATTAGGAGGGACATAACGGGAGGGGCGGATATTAGGATGGACATAACATGAGGGGCGGCTATTAGGAGGGACATAACGGGAGGGGCGGATATTAGGATGGACATAACATGAGGGGCGGCTATTAGGAGGGACATAACGGGAGGGGCGGATATTAGGATGGACATAACATGAGGGGCGGCTATTAGGAGGGACATAACGGGAGGGGCGGATATTAGGATGGACATAACATGAGGGGCGGCTATTAGGAGGGACATAACGGGAGGGGCGGATATTAGGATGGACATAACATGAGGGGCGGCTATTAGGAGGGACATAACGGGAGGGGCGGATATTAGGATGGACATAACATGAGGGGCGGCTATTAGGAGGGACATAACGGGAGGGGCGGATATTAGGATGGACATAACATGAGGGGCGGCTATTAGGAGGGACATAACGTGAGGGGCGGATATTAGGATGGACATAACGTGAAGGGCGAATATTAGGATGGACATAACGTGAGGGGCGGCTATTAGGAGGGACATAATGTGAGGGGCGGATATTAGGAGGGACATAACGCGAGGGGCGGATATTAGGAGGGACATTACATGAGGGGCAGATTTAAAGGAGGGACATGCCGCGAGGGGCGGATTTAAAAGAGGGACATGCCGCGAGTGGCTGCTATCAGGGAAGGCCTTCACGCATCATGCACTTCCTTTTTTTGGCTGTAGTTAGGCTTTAACCTCTTCCCCTTCCTTCCCGTAGACTGACTCCATCCAGATAGACCGGTGACTGTTTTTATTACGGATCGGTCGATAAGCGTCAATGGGGCCATTGGCTGTTCCGGTCATCTTGCTTGTCACGGCGCTATGTTTCCCCCCCCCCTCTTCCCCCCACAAATTCCAGCCTTTGCCGCTGTAAATGGCCCTTAAATAGGCAGCCCCGGTGGTTGCCGCAGATAAGATCATTAAAGTAATAGGTTTCATAAATCACAGCTTCACTCAGACAGGATTAATGGCTCTCGTGGTGGACCTGACACCTCATTCCCCTCGACCAGATAAACTCTGACTCCGTGGTGTCAGAGAGGGACAAGAGGGATGAGGCGACACCTGTACCGTGACGGGCCAGGACTGGGGAGACGCTCATTAATCACCTCTTTCCGAAGGAGACCTCCGTATGCTACACAAGAGACGGGAGTCAATAGGAGGATGTTGTTTAGAAGAGGAGCTTCCAGACTGAAGACTCTTATTGTGCAATCTGATATCTTGTCACCTCCCAGCAAATGTCCATTATCGGTCCTGATGTTCTATGGTGACCTCGGCACACTCATGGCATGGTGTCTTTGTTCTCAGGAGTGTAAGTTCACCTATAGAATCCGTGCTAGGGCTTTCTATGGTGCAGCGCATAGTTCCATTATTGTGCTGTCATGGACAGAGGTCTGTATCCGCAGAGAGAGAGAGACTCATGATCTGGGATCAGGCTCGAAGTCCAGTAGCTGAAGCAGCAGGCAGATTCGTGGTATAACAGGCCGGGTTCGGTACACAAGCAGACGGTAGTAGTGGAGGAGCAGGCAGAAGCGTAGTCGGAGAACAAGCCGAGGTCAGTAGCCAAAGGTATCAGGTATGAAGTGGAAGACGATGAGAGTAGTCGGTGAATCAGCAGCCAAAGGTCGGTACACAGGTAGCAGCATGAGCGGATTGTATCACAGAGGGAGCAGGAAGCAAGATATTGGCAGGAGCACAATAATGTGGCAAACAGGAAGTGCAGAGGCGTGGCTTAAATAGGAAGTTCAAGGGAGGAGCAAGGAGTTCAGCAGAAACTAGGTTTACCTGAGGATCACACAGGAGATCAGGCAAGGAGCTATCCAAGGTTCTAAGGTTGCTCTGCAGGTAGAACCACCACCAACTACAAGAGAGGTCCTGGGTTCAGATCTGGTTCCTGACAGACAGTGCAGGAAATACAGGAGCGGACCTGAAGCTGTGTGGAGGTCTGGGTGTCACGGGGTTGGGAGGGGGGAGAGCTCAGGGTGCACCGGAGGCACAAGATGACACAGGATACTCTGAGGTCACCACATTATATTTGTAAACCAGTACCTTTCATTTAAATAAAAAAAATCCCTGTAGATCCAGCCAGGACGGTGTGTGTTCAGGCACTTCCTGTTATAAGGTGACAACACTCTGTTCCTGTCTTCCAGTTTCTGCTCCTTTGTTGTCACACGAGTTTCCAATGGAGACTGCAAGTGGCCGTTTCGGCACGCATTACACAGACACGGTCCACTGTTGTCACCATCAGGAAACCCGCCCTGAGAAATACCATGCAGTTATTACATTAAATACGTATCTGTATTTATTTCATTAATATTAATGGAGGTTGGAGTTACGCCAAGGGTCACCAGTACTGTGTGGGCGGCAATATAATATATAATTTATATATATCAGTGGTCAGTGGGGGCTCTGGTTGGTAGTGAGGGCTCTCCTGTGGCCACACCAGCCAGTTGGCCCGCAGCATATCCCGTCACTGAACCCCCTGCGCAGGTGCAGTGGCTCCCTCCACCGCCTCTCTGCCACCTGCACC